AGGAAGGAAGGAAGGAAGGAAGGAAGGAAGGAAGGAAGGAAGGAAGGAGAGAGAGAGACAGAAAGAGAAAAAGGAAAGGAAAGAATAAGTGAAGGATGGAGGCTGGCAAGAAGGGGTAGGAAAGAAAGAGACAAAGACTATGTGAGACAATGATACAATAAGATGGAGGTGTGACTAAGTGGAAGAGCGCTTGTCTAGCATGCATGGGCACTGGGTTAAATCACCACAGACATATTCCTAAATGCTTCACAGGCAGGGAAAATAACTCACTGGGCCAAGGCTCTTACCATAGATCATGATAGAATAAATTTAATCCCCAGGACCCACACAGTAGAAAAGAACGACCAACCATTAAGATGTCATTCGATCTAATAAAACATACACGCACGTGCAAGCACACACACACACACACACACACACACACGTGACTGTTCTAGTTTCCTTTGTACAGCTGACAAACACTCTAACCAAAAACAACTGAAGACGGACTCTTTATTTAGTTTATACTCAACATATCACAATCTATCATTGAGGGAAGACAGGGCAGGAACTCAAGCAAGATAGAAATCATGGAGGAACTGTTTACTGGCTTGCTCCTAGCCTACCATTTAGCAGCCTTCTTATACAGTCCAGAACCATCTGTCTAAGGAAGATATCCCAACTGTAGGCTGGACCCTTTTTAATCAATTAGCAAGCAAGATAATCCCCCAGAGATATGTCCACAGGCCAATCAATCTAGCAAATCCTTCAGGTGAGACTTCTCAGGTGATTCTAGGCTATGTCAAGCTGATACTTAGGTACACCTACACGTAATAAAGGTTTTCTAACTTTAAATAATGATTCAGGCTAAGAGTACAGCTCAGTAGGAAAAGTTTAAGACATGACACACTGATTCTATCCTCAGTATCACAATAAGTGATTTGTCTCAAAAGTAATTCTTATGACTTAGTAACAGATCCAGCAAAGCACAATTTGGGGCAGCAATTAGAATTAGCAGACTTCAAATGAGACATCTATAAATTAATTGCCTTTTAAAATCAGAAAATCAACCTGCTATATTGAACTGAATGTCAAGTTAGAGTATTTTTCCTACTTTTATTAAAATATTCACATCAACTAAGTATCTCATACTTTTAATCTTATTGTCTCCCTGCTTTTTATGAAAAAATAGAAAGGAAGCAATGTAAAAGAGCTCAGCATTGTAACATCATTTCTACTTTGGAATTTTAAAAAAATCCAAAAGATTTCTAAAAAGGGAAAGAGGTTAAGAGCGAGGCTGGCAGCACAGCTCTTACCCAGCATATGCGGAGGCTCAAGGCTCAGCCAGAAAACTAACTGCAACGCTAGACATGAGCTCCACTTCAGGTCTCAGAACTGAGCATAAACATAAATGTGTTCACTCTACACATGCAAAGATGATTATGAGTTTGGGAGTTCAAATTTGGAAATATATCCTACACTAAAGATTAAACCAAACCCTGACCCAGCACTCTTGATACCTTCTTTTTCTATTTTCCATTTCTTCCTGTCGTATCCTATCAGTTTTAGCTTTCAAAATATTTCTAAGTTATCTATTAACAGCTGGTGTTACTGGGCAGTCCAATTTACCTTTATCTCTACATTAAACTTATTAAGCCAAGCATGGTAGTGCAAGCCTTTAATCCCAGCAATCAGGAAGCAGAAACAAGGAGATCTCTGTAGGTTTGAGGTCAGCTTGGTGCACACAGTGAATCTCAGGCCAACCTCTGACACACAGTGAAACCCAATCTCAAAAATGAAATAAAATAATAGACTTTATATAGCTCCTAGGTATTTTACTTTTGTCTTCATAAAACAGCATACATGTGACCCTCTTAATGTAATTTCCATCTTGCTACTCTTCCACTACAGAAGCTTCCCATTTCACCTACTGTGAAACTCACACTCCCAAGCTTTGATTTTCCATAATACGGCCCCTGCCTGATTCTCTAAGCTCACTTCACATTTATCTCTCCATCACACATTACAAATATGCCTGTCATCTTTGCCCCTCAAATAAGCTATATACTCAAATTCTCAGTCTACATATTTTCTATTTTCTAGTTTTAGAAGCAGTCCTTCAACTCCTAGACCTTGTTTTTAACAATGTAAAGTATACGCTAATGTAAAAAATTCCAACACTATCAGAAAACATATAGAACACAAGAACTACTTAAAATCATACCATTAGAAAGAATCACCACTAATATTTTTTTAAATAATCCTTTATATGGAACTTTGTAGATATATGTGCCACTATATGCTCCATATAGTCTTCATAAACTTCAACTTTTACCATACTTGTTCTTCACACTTAATGCTCAATTCAAATACCAATTCCTAAAAAGAGGCTTTCCAGGAACCTTGTAAAGAAACTTATTTTCAATCACATCATTCAGCTTCCTTCATTGCACATATTTCTCTCCAAATTAACTGTATGTCTTTGTTAACTTTTCTCTATTTTTTATCTGCCCAATCACAGAGGAATTCAAGTTACATGGAGCAGAATCTTACCACTGCTTTTCCCATCACTATGGTCTGGACCACTACTTAACACACTGCAGATGCCTAATACTTAATAAAGAGATGACAGCTTTGGTAACCTTGTGTGTGTGTGGTACTAGGATCCAAAACCATAGCCTAACATATACTAGCAAATGTTCTACTAATAAACTATAGCCCCTATACCTTTTTTATTTTCTATTTTTGAGACGGTATCTCAGTAGGTTGCATAGCCTGAATCAACTCCTCTATAGTCCAGGCAGGCCTTAATCTTGTGATCTTTCCTTCTGCCTCAGTTTTCCAAGTAGCTGGGATTACAGGCCTGACTTCAGTTAATATTTATAAGCTTCAAAATCCTAAATTTTTATCTTCTACTGAATTTTCTCTAACCTCATACTCTTACTTAGCCATCCAGTGACGGCTCCAATAGAAAACTGCAGTGGCTCACCAAACCTCCTCCTGCTCACGGTACTCACTTTTTTGATGAATGATGATGCCCTCAACCAAATATCTCAAACTATAAACCTGAATTTCTACCCTTGAAGTGATTCCTCCTCTTCATCCCATATCCAATTACCAAGTCTCTCAACTCTACTTCCTACATCCCCAATCCATCAACTTCATCCAATCCATCTGCTCTTCTCCCACCCATCAAATACAAACCATTCATCACTTCCCTTATCAACTACAATATCCTTCTAGCTTCCTACTCCAGATCCACTCTTACTTCCTTCTAATTTATTAAAAGTTACACTCTCAGAGGCTATAATAACATGATGGTTAATCTTGTCAATTTGGCTAGATTTAGAATCACTTAGGAGACAGACATCTGGATATGTATAAGAGGCTTAACTAAATGTGGACAGACCCATACTCTGGGCTGGATCCCAGGCTTAATAAAAAGGTAAACACAAGCATAGCAATAGCGTTCACCTTACTCTGTATTCCAACTGCAAACGCAATGTGTCCACACGCCTACAACCACAGCTACCACTGGTCTTGCTGCCATGCCATACCACTTTACACATAATCCATTCTGCAAGTCTCAAATTCAGACATCAATTCTTCAGAAGTCTGTAGTAAACAATTCCACTGATAGCCTTCTTCTCAATGCAGCCTTTGGTTATACAATCAATCACACAGTAATCTAAATAACTGCTGTAAAGAACTGTGTAGCTATAATCAAAGTTATTGATTTTAAGGTGAGAGGTTATCATGGATTACCCAGGTAAATCGGAGACTCAGAAGTTGACCAACAACTTAGGTCTATAGTTCCTCCCTCCAGAGATTCTAAATAGGCCACTGTCTCATCCCTGGAGACTCTAGCCTATGAGATTCTAAGCAAAGTCCAAGTTAAGCTGCCTGAATTTCAAACTTCAGAGCTCTGATATAATGAATGAGTGTTGCTTAAGCTGCCTAACTTGAGACCAATTGAAACCTTACAACCAAGACTCTTTCTAGACCGCTACACTAAGCCTGAGTTTGGGTCCCTGTTCCCATAGCATTTGCATTTCTGTCATAACATTAACCACATTATTACTTTATATATAGCCTAAGATCTATAGCCAATGATTTTTCAATTTTGTTCACCATAACCCAATGTCTACACAACTGCTATCCATATAAATGTTTGCTAATTAAATGAAAAAACTGTTCCCCAAAATTTTTAGTTGAGATACACCTCCTACAAAATATCAGATTATAAAGTACTTAAGAAACAAATTATTGATTATAACAATAATTAAAGAGAGGAGTTAGGGTGAAAGATACATATTTAGAGTCATTTGAACACTTATTATTTCAGTTTTACAAACCCTTGCCACTCACTACCTCCCTTACTCCATGCCCAGTTCCACAGGAATCCTGGCCATCTATCAAAACACTATACATTACTAGTAACAGTGGTGATATCCCTCAGATATACCTTTGGATTATAAAGTACAAGTTATCCTACAATTTAAAAAATAATAATTATCAAACTTCAAAAATAATCCAAATTTATTCAACCTGAGACATTAAAATTTTACAATAAAAAATTAAAATTATCTGGTCAGAAAAGAAAAAGATCAACAAAAAGAATACTTACATCAAAGGAAAAGCAAAAAACGGGAGTGTCATGACAAGTCTTGCTGTAAATTCATCAGGAAGATACCACAAGTATACAATCAAACATGTAAACAGATAAAGAACTGAAGAATAGATAATTAATCTTCCAACCCATAATTTTTGCAATCTCTGATTTTTTTCTCTAAATTCTTCCAATGCTTGAATTTCCTGTTAAGAGAAAAGTATCCCATATTATGAAATCTCATAAATTATTTAAAAATTAGAATTGGAAGAATTAACATGACAGAAAGACTGTATAAGGTTCCTAAAATTCAATGAAATACAATGCTCTAACAATTTTAAAGCAAACATATGGAATAGTAAACAAAAATAAAGTTAAAAACTAAGTAAGTCTGTCCCAATAATTACTTTTTAAGTTGAAATATTAAATACTCTTTTTAATCTATCAAATTGGCAAAGACTGGAGAAGTAAAATTGGCATTAGCAAATATTTGTGGAGTCAAGAATATAGTAACTTTCCACATATGGCCTTTAAAAATCCGACAAAAAAGGAATAAAAATAGTAGGGCCAAATATGGTGGCATACACCCTTAATTCTGGCACACAGAGGCAGAAACAGGCAGATTTCTCCAAGTCTGAGGCCAGTCTGGTATAAATAGATAGTTCTAGGCCAGAAGACAGAATATAGTGAGACTATCTCAAAAAAAAACAAAACAGTGATTGAAGATTGAAATTACATCATTTCACAGTCTATTCACTACTTCCAATATCCTGAGGGAAAAACATTAAATAAGAGAAAAATTTTAAAGCTATAGAATTGTTCCACAGTAGCCTGCAATCTTTATCAAGTTGTTACATTGATTTACACCATGCTAGCTCTAATTGCATTCTAACAGAGTCTATTACTACTTGATACAGGCTTCTTAAGTCACTAAGAGACTTCAGATTTTTTGGGGGGATCATAGTTCTCAGTACTCCTCTTTATCAGTAGTTCTCAACCTGTGGATCACAACCCCTTTGAGGGTCACATATCAAACATTCTATATATCAGATACATATTATATACACTATAATTCATAATAGTAGCAAAATTGCAATTATTAAGTAGCAACAAAATAATTTGATATTGCCGGGCTCTTGGGGTCCCGCTTGGGTTCTAATAATAAAGACAGGGAGACATCCTCAAGTATAAGGCTGTTTGCTGGGAAAGTCCCTCAGCTAGTCTATCAGACTTCATCCGAAGTCTCTCCACATTCAACCTCCCTGCTCTCCCTGTTCAGCTTCAGTCTCTCCTGCCTGGTCTTCCTGCCCCAGCTCCCGCTGGCAGTTCTTTATTATACAAAAAGCCTCACTCTTTACTCATGGAGTCTGAACCAATCAGCAGCAGGACAACATCTGATCCATCTCTCTGATTCACCCCTTTGGCATTGAGAACAAGGTGACCTGTCTATGGCAGTTTGCTATTTCTTTTGGGGCAGGTAAGGGAGCAACAAACATTTACTTATTCTGCTAGCCTGGCACCGGAGGCACAGTCACTAACAATTGAGAATACAGACACAACTTCATAGCCAGTTGATACAGTACACGTGGGTTATTCCAACAATGTTATGGTTGGTGTCATCACACATGAAGAATTATACTAAAGGGTAGCAGCATTAGGAAGGTTGAGAAGCATTGTTCTGTATCATCTCTAAGTTCCCATATCTCTTCTCCAATATAAAATTACTAAAGTAATATTTAATTAATATCTAAAATAAATTAAAATACTTTAGAGCCAAAAAAGAACGTACCTTATCTATGTTTTCTAGAACTTCTACTGTTGAAGGTCTTGCCTGTTTTAGAAACAGAAATAAGACCTGGCATTAAAAGTTGTTACTACAAACATTTTGTTAAAAACTCATTTATGTAGTCATTAAAGAATATTTTAATTCTCAACTAGGTTTCTCAATGTTACCAAGCTATATGCTTACCTGTTCATAACTATAATTGAAAAATTATACTTACCAAACTATGTAAGATTCTTACAATAACTTTTTCTGAAACTTTCGACTTTGACAACTCTTCTTTTACCATTCTTAACCTCAACAGAACAGATTTTATAGAGAGACATATTTCTACCCAAAGGGATTCATATACCAACAGATTCATGAACTAAAGATAGTCTAATTCAGTAACGCTCAGGCTCTGTGCTAGCAGCACACCAACTGATTTCAGCATCCCCCCCCAGGGCTCTGGAGGTTAAAAAAAACAATAGATTATCTTCATTGTGATTCCTAACATTTCCAAAGGGATTTGTTTGTTTGTTTGTTTTAAATGATTATAGATGTATGCCTGAGTGTTTCTGTATACCATGTGCATCCCTGGTGCCAAAGAGGCCAGAAGAGGGTACTGGATCTCCTGAAATTGGAGTTAAAGACAGCTGTGAGCCATCAACTAGGTGCTGGAAATTGAGCAAGGGTCCTCCAGAAGAACAATCAATGCTCTATCCTCTGAGCCATCTCTCCAGCCCTAGGTATACAGCTTTTGAAAAATAAAATTTTTAAAGAGTATATAAGAATACTTTATCATAGCAGAGATTATTTGCCAAAGGTATTTCTATATAAGTCAGAATGGTTCAAATGGCAACTAAGACAATATTTATTATCAGTATTATATCTTGAAGAGTTTATAACACATGATTGAATCATGCAAAATTGCTATTTTTGTATGTCAAAGCAGAATATCAACAACTTCATATAATTCAACCAAATAAGAAAACAAAAAAAAAAATGATAATTTGATTCTCAGTCTGTCATTTTTTGTTGTTGTTTTTGGTTTTGTTTTATTTTGTTCTTTGAGACAAGGTTTCTCTGTTTAACAGCCTTAGCTGTCCTGGAACTCACTTTGTAGACCAGGCTGACCTCACACTCACAGAGATTCACCTGCCTCCCTCTCTCTCAAGTGCTGGGACTAAAGAGATGAGCCCCCACGCCTGGCTCCGTCAAAGATTTTTAAAGAGGAGTCACTTCATTCATCTGTGGAATGAAAAAAGGAAATCCCATAGAAGTAAAAATTAAAACATCTAAGGAAACTGGACGTACAAGTTGAAGAGTTGAAAGCTTTGAGGTCAAAGGATACAAAATACATTGAGTAAGTTCTACAGACGGCACAGCATTGTGACTACAGCTTATAATAATAACTATATTCTTTTTATGAATTTATTTCATTTTAAAATATGCATATAGATGTATTTCTGTGTGTAGTTACATGAGTTCATGTATCATGGGAAGCTAGAGTTCCAGGCAATTGAAAATAACCTGATATGGGCACTGGGAACTTGAACTCAAGTCCTTTGCAAGAACAACAGGTACAGGTACTCTTAACCACTTAACCATCTCTCTAGCCCTGATATACTATATTCTTGAAAAACGCTAACAGAGGGAATGTTTCTCACCACAAAAAATATAATTATGTGAGTTAATGTATATGTTAATTAGCTATAGCTAAATAATATAATGTAGACACTTTAAAACATCATGTTGCATACAATAAATATGTTATTTTACCTGTGGATTTTTTTAAAAAGAGAAAAAAGTCAGTATTACACAAATCTAAAACATGGATTTAATCTAACAAGTCAATAGCTAAATTATATACCAAGTATTACTAGACTCTATTATTATGATAAGGAATAAGGAAATTAATTTATCTTAGACTACATTATCTCTCTCTTCTTACATTTGAAGAGTATTTATCAATATAATTTATATTTTATATCTCTAAATTTGAGATACTTTCTCTAAAGGCTTATCTAATGAAATCTGCATTTTAATTGTGTTCAAGCTATAACTCTTAAAGCCATATTTAGTGTGGTATCAATAAACTTATGTGTCATGCTAACAAAAAAAGCAAAACAAAACAAAAATTCATAATACCAGCAGTGGCAGGACAAATTTCTGTGAGTTCAAGGCTGCACACTGAAACCCTGTCTCCAAAATAGATAGACAGACAGATTAGATAGATGGTATAGTATGCAAAAACCATAAGTATGATATAAAATTTTTAATTTCAACTACTTTTAGAATAAACTTGGAACTTGGGCGGTATGAGAAGAAAACTAAAACTGCTTGCATAAAATACATAAAAACAAATTACTATACATATTAGATACCCATAAAATAAATATAACTACCAAAATAATATCCAAAGAAGTAATTCTAATGGAGTTAAATGAAATTAAATATATGTATCAAACTTATTAAAAAGTATGCTGATAACTTTATGAAAATCTTTATAATAGTTTTGTTAGATTTTAAAAACTAGCAATAAAGAAAATTTTTTCTTACCCTCCATCGAGAAAATAATCCACCCATCTTTTATTTGAAGAAACTTGCCACAATAATAAATTTCATGTGCTGTCCAAAAGAAGTCACAGCTAGAAACAAAGTAAAATATTTTAAAATTTTAAGTTAAACATATAGCACATTCTCTCTAACTTTTTATGCTTCAATACTACATTAAAATACAGTAAATTATTTGTTGGCCTCCACTTACATAAAACTTGAATCCTGAAAAGTCATTGGTATATTCAAAGTGAGGACATACTTAAAAGTAAAAATAGAGTTGGAAATATTTTTTAATGTAAATCACTTTAGAAAGTATACACATACCTACCAATTTCCTGGTCTTTTTAATAGTTTATGTTGTTCTTGTTATAAAAATAAATAAACCATTCAATAATCTGAGCCTTAATATTTTGTAAATTAAAGTGAGTGATGTCAATGGTTTATCACAGGGTGGTCTTCTAGGGTAAACACCTTGGAGATTAAAAAAAAATAGAGAACAAGAAAGCTAGTGATTTGCCCCACAGCACATAAGAAATAAGTTCTAAAGTCCCTCTATCTTCAGACTTCTATTTCTGAATACTGCTGTTCAACACCCAATTAAGCATGTGTTAAACTTCTAAGACCCTCAAGTTAGGTGAGTTTAAGTTCAGCTAGCTGTGTATTCTCTTTGTTTATCTATGATTCTAGAATGTTATATAAAGAATCAGAAATAGTAACATCATAAGTCAATTTAACAGAAAATCATTTTATAATTTCTTGTTTTTTAACTTAAAATGGTACTATTATACCCCCAAATTGATATGTTACCAGGCTACAAGTATATGATTATCAGTGTGTGAAACTATACTTATACACACATGCACACACACTTATTTTCATAGGTATATCTCCCATGTCTTAACCATAAATATAATCACAAAATAATTATCAGCAGCCAGTAAGAACTGCAATACTATTTATATGTCAGAATTATCTCAAGTCATACCTATTTTAAGAGTTTCTTTTTTTAGAAAAGTAATGAATGCCTAATTATAGAGTACTTTCATTTACAAAGTGATTCTTATGGGCAAAATATTATCTGTTCTAAAACAATCTGAAGCATACTAGCTTAATTTTATAAGCTACAATTAAGTTGCAATCTAAATAGTAATCCAGTAATATAATATATACACACACACACACACACACACTCTTGCTCAGTATTTGAAACTCTAAAATGTGATTATGAGGTATTCTAGAACTCTAATGAACAAAAGTATAAATTCTGAGTCAAGATTAAGCAAATCTTAAAATCTTAAGTTTCTAAAAAATAATCACCAAGAAAGACAGACAGAAGAAATTCAGATGCTCACTTAATTTGTATTTCTCTGTCATCACCCCATTATTTTGAAACTGGCTTGTTATATCTGACAGTGTTTCATGCACAACTAGATTACATATTTCCATTTCTAAAAGAAGTATATCCTTCCAAGCTTGTAACCATCACACCTGGAGACCAAATTCTCTGTTTTGGTTGGATTTTTTTTTTTTTGAGACAGGGTGGCTATATAGTCTAGCCACCCTCAACTACCTTTCTGCCTCAGCCTCTAAGTACTAACAGGCACTACAAAATTGTACCATCAGGCCCCACCTGGCTTAGACTGATTTTTTTTTTTTACTGCTTGAAATTAATAACATCAGTTACACACTTGGCACGAGATCTCTAAGAAGCTCTTAAACAAATGATTCCCAAGAATTTTATCATTTATATACTGTCCCCCTCCACTTCACAAATTAAGACCCTGAGGCTATAGAAGTAATATGCTAAGCTCCGAAGATACTAGGTAGCAAAGTCAAACACAGTATTTTAGTTTTGATTCTTTTCTAATGCAGCCAATCATTCGGAACAGCAAGAAATCAGAAATGGAAGATACATATATAGCATAGGCTGGAATATAGCTATATAGACTAGAATGTCTATGTAGAAGATATAGATATCTGGGGATACTGGTCAGAAATAGAACACTTGCCTAGTACATGTGGATCCCTGAGCTCAATCCTCAGCACCAAAAAATAGAAAAATAAAAACTAAGTTAAATAAAATATATGAAAGTACCTTGAACCTTCTCAAATAGTTGGTAAGCAAAGCTACTAAAATGGAAACTGAGTTACAAACAAGAGACAGTGTTTATGTCAATGTATCATGTAGCCTAATCCCTTTATCTGATTAAATCTGGGTGCTTAAATTTGCATTAGAGAGAAACTAAATGGCTCACTAAATTCCTAGGGTTCTTGTTAGAACTTTCAGATCAACTAGCCTAAAACAGTCTTTACTGCATATTATTTTTTAAATGAGTATATGAAATATACTCATACCTCATAATAAATACCTATTTTATGTCAGTTATTTGCTTGGAAAATGTTTTGCTGCTACAAACAAACAAACAATGATTTAGCCTCCAGGCTCCCTGAAGCAAGAAGTTGTGCTTTTAAGTTTACCCTCTGAAATGTTAGTAATAGTCATTAAATCCATGCTTAATAGTCATAAGTATAGTAACAATCCATTCTTATTGCTTCAGAAATTTTTCTACCAAACTCTAGTATTATTAAAGCTGATTTACTATAGTGCACATATGATAGTATTTTTAACTGATGTGAAACACAGGAAGGTTAGATGTTTCCTACAGTATTAAGTTCATTTCTCTATCACACCCACTGCTTCTGTCCTTTCCATCTTAACTCCAATTCTGACTGACCATCATTTACTGTAAAATAGGGAGCAAAAAAATTAAACATCCCTGTTTCTCAATTTCCTCATTTGCAAAAGACAGAATCCTCTCAAATGTTGAAAGGTTTAATTAAGTATGTCCTAAACGACTTACCCTAGTGCCTGATAACAGTCATTACTCATAATAAGTTGTTTTTCTTGCTGTAGTTATTGCCATTTTCTAATCCATCTCTACCTTCTTGCCCAGTAACTCTAGCATTTCTTTCTGAAGCATAAATCGCTCACTTCCCTTTAAATGAACCTCAAGCAGCTAGTCCCCAACATGTACAGTCTCTTTCCAACTCTGAGATCACAATGGGACTTAGCATGTACGACCTTAATGGCTGAGTGCACCTAAATATGTTTTCTTTTTTTAAGATTTAGTTATTTTCATGTGTATGAGTATTCTGCTTGCATGTATATGTGCACCATGTGTGTGCCTTGTGCCCAGGGAAGTCAGAAGTGAATGTTAGATACCAGAGAACTAGAGTACAGATGGTTGTGACCCACCGTATGGGTCATGAGTGCTCCTAACCTCTCCAGCCCTCTACCATACTATATGATGTTTTCTATTATTATCATCCACACTCAGATTTAAGTGTTTTTCTTGGATTCTCAACTCACTTCAAATCACATTAAAACAATGGGATAAGGATTCAAATGGGATATGGCTCAGCCATTTACTAGCTATTTGATCTTAAACTAAGAGAGTTCTTAAACTCTCTAAGCCTTGGCTAATTAAGCAGTTAAAATATTTACATTCCTTGGAATTGTATAAAGTAAGTGAAATTATTTATCACTTGGCAGTGTTTAGCATAGTACTGAGCTAATTTTAGCCATTACTATTGCTATTACCAAAAAATATATGTAATATCTAAATGAAGCATGTGCCTAACTTGTCATTGAATAAACATACAGTTTAATTATTTCATAATTTAAAATGTTTAAGAATAAAATAAATTTGTGTTTTTACTGAAAATATTTTTCTCATTTACCCCAGCATGGAAATAAAGCAGAATATTTTTCAAGCACTCCTTACTGTAATAAACTTGTAAGCCTTCATAGAAAACAACAAAAGAAATGGAGTTTTGTGTTTTTACCTTAGATTCCAAACTTAAATATAAACTAGTCACCTTTAACAGCACCTCCACATTATCCTGCACAATTTGGGTTTAAATGTGGTTTGTTTAAAATCGCTTTCAAATATCCAGATAGACAACTCTGAAATATCTTACACCAGGTTTATTACCCAAAAGATAAATGGTAAATATACCTCTAAAAGCACTTTTAATATGAGATGACCACCACTAAATAAATAAATATAATAAAAGATAAAAAAGACTGACAGGGAGATTCCTATATGAACTCATACCTTTGTTAGAGTCACCTGTCCTTGCATTCTTCCAATATATAAACACCATAAACATTTTATTAACATCATTACTATGGTGACCCCAATAGATGTCAAGGAACTTTTTAAAACTCTACTTTTAAATTAACCACTCTTGTTTAAGAAAATGTATTCAAAATCAACTTTGTTTCCCTAAGAAGGCACTCTGGAGACCTTTGGGGACTAGGTATTAGTCCTGACTGTCAGCTTGAACATATGCCTATAACTAAACTTATTCACACCCATCACAACTCTAGACAATGTTGTCAACGCTAAGACCGAGGCCACAGAGACAGAAAACAATAGGCTCTAGGCACCACAAACCAGAAGCCAAAAAGGAAAAACAGAACACGCAAAACTCAGTGAGTCACAGGTGTTGCTTAAAACTGCACGCAAAAAATAAATTCGCCAATCCGAACTCTCCGTCCGCAAACACATCGTCAAAGAATTAAACCTACTGATGTCCCTTGGAGTCGCTTGTCCCGGGCTGCTCCTGACACCATGCATCTTCGTCCTACCTGTCCACCCCTCAGACGGGCAGCTGTCCGTCCTATAAGTAAGGACAATGGTTGTGGAGCTGCTCCTCCAAGTCGCTCACAATCCACGCCCACAAGTGGACGGAGTAGCATGACACTGACAGTTTTCAGACCTGCCGGTCGTGCCAGCTCAGGTGGACGCGGAGGTGATTGGAGCACTCAGGGGGGATATTTCAGCTAGGGATGTGCTTTCTGGGACCTTCTGAAACTTCTCAACACAGGTGGGCCCAAGGGCTCGGGCTCTAAACAGCTACGGCGCGGAACCCCTGAGAACACACCCAGGGAGAACACCGGCCTTGGGGGAGGCAGAGCCGGGTCTCGTGCACTCCGGAGCCGCTCGGGCCGCTGTGCAGGGCGATCCATGAGAGAAGGTGGCAACAGCGTACGGAGGGCAGCCCCGCGGCACGTCCCCAGCCGCCGCCAAGCTCTAGGCCACTTGGCATGGGCGGAGGCACCCGGGCCGGCGCACGGAGGAACCCGGCGACTGGTTCCTGCGGTCCGGAGCGCCTCCGTCTACGCGGCCCTCCCTTCACCGTCCTACCTGAGGAAAGCGGGCGCCGCTCGGCCCCGGCGTCCACTCGGGGAAGCCTGGGTCGCCACCGCGTAGAGCCTCTGGAGCAGGCAGCAGCACCTACTGATAGAGCACTGGGCCCGGCCAATGCCTTCCCATCAAACCCCGCGCTCCCGCAACCAGCCAATGGGCGCTGCAGCCAGCGCGCGCCGCTCCCCCATCACGTGATCCGGCCGGCCCAGCCGTTGGAGCCTCAGACCCGCGGGTGTGGCCCGAGGGTTTAGGCTGTGTATCCTCCACCGCTAGGGTAGCTTGTTCGCCCTCGGGACACAACAGGGTAGGGTCGTTCCGACTGACTCTTACTAGTAGTTGATTGTTAATCTTCTCTACCTCCTTTTCTTGTGAACAACTCCCACGCCCCAGTCTCGCCAGGAGAAGAAATTTCCCTGATCTTGATTGTTCCAGACTTTCTGAGCGAGAGAAGAGTGTGGAGGAGAAAGGGGAGGGGCGTTGAAGGTCAAGACGCGTGTGTGTGGAAAAGAGCGGGTACCTGAGATCCCAGATCACCTGTCATCCAGCAACCAGCAAAAAAGGTTCACATTGCGTAGCTCAGAAGCTACGCTGGGATTGGGCTGGCCAATCCCAGCCAAGCCAGTGGAGACAGACAGACAGACATCATACATACATCTTCCTGGCCATAACCCATGAGGGCTGTAGGCTTCCTTCTGTTGCTCTTGGACGTCAGAAAGGGTCCTTTCATGACTAGTCGCTTACCTCACCAGCATGAGAAGAACTTTAAACGATAAGGATGGTCTTTTCAAGCTATTGGGTAGCAACAAAGGCTGAGCTTTCCGTCTTTCCACTCTTAACCTCAAGAACAATCTCCAAAAGTTCTAAAGAACTAGGCCTGCTTAAACCATAGTGCTGTATTTCCCTAAGATTTGAAAACGACCTAAAGAATGTTTTTTTCTAGTCAACTGCAAGAATCAATAACAACACCTGAATGAGGAGGAGGGGAAACGAGAGCTCCATAGGCATAGCAAGAAGGGAAGCTTCAACAAAGGTTTTTATGTTCTATCCTGTGTTCAATCATTTTTATGGGTTTTTCTTTAGTTACTGGAGAAAATGTTTCTGATTTTCAAAGCGCAATCGGTATAATATGCTATGTTTACACTGACGACACCGGCACAGAAGAAGACATATAGTATCTAGTTTGTAAGATAATGCCCTAATTTCTAAAATCTTCAGTTACAGCTTTGTACACTAAAAGAATAGGAAGAGAAAGCTAAACTTTAGTGTGCCGTGTATCGCCTCACCAATGTGGAAGAAAATAAACGGACAGTTCACCAGTTTTTCTTTGGGAAATTAACCATTTTATTTCCCAGCCTTGGTAGTTTCTGAGAACATAAAACTTGTACTACTGTGCAGCTGCCTCTTATCTCAGATCTTTCCTAAAGAGAACAGGAAAAAATCATTTTTGATGCTTGCTGATACTTTGTTCTAGGTTTTTTGTTGTTGTTGTTGTTGAGCTATCAAGGTTTGTCATAAAGGGAGTTTAAAAATAAAACAGGAGAGTGAGACAAAAGAGCTAACTGGAGGCAAAGATTCTAAAAAATCTAATCCTGAGAGAAAATTTTCTAGGGAAATTACATTAGAAAAAAATTTAATCTACCCGGGTTTGAAAGAGAGACAATGTAAATCATTTCTCAAATCTTTCAAAGTATCATTTTTTCAATTGCTGAAACGTAAAGTAGAAAGATATGTATACTATTAAAGATAGCACTATATCATTTTGTCTTATAAGTGGAGAGGTAAGACCTGCACCAAGGATGTGGCTCAGTGGGAGTATGCTTATCTAGTGTATACAAGGCCCAGGGTTCAGTCCTCAATACCATAACAAGGGACAATGCAGGAAAGACAAACAGAACTAAACATGGGGTATATTGCTAAATTACAGATTACAGGATGACTTTGAGCATATATGGACAAGGTCCTTTGTTGAGTACTAAGGAAACATACAATAGCTATAATAAAGCATCCAACAGGAATGAGAGAAAAACTACAAGGTAAGTAAGTGTTATATGTTCACGGTGTTAGAAAGCATCACAGCAGCCAGGGATGCTGGGAAAGCCAGTGAAACCACTGCTCTAATAAGTCCAGATCTCAAGAATGGCTCCCCACTAACCCTAAACTGTAACAAGACTGCATCTAAAGAAGTGAAATCCAGAGAAATCTTTGAAAGAGGAAACAAACTGTTCAAGCTGATAGAATTTTAAGTGGTCTAATTTAGGAAGGGGGAGATTCAATTTTCTTAGGTGTTATGAAAATTTAAAGGAGGGGAATTTATCAATCTAGCCAGAGGTGTTAGAGTAAGCTTTCTTAAGGAGGTCACACTCAAATTAGATCCAAAAGATAAGAAACAACCGTGGAGAAACACAAGGAATGTCCTATGTAAAGGCCTTTTGTTAGAAGCAGGCATTGCAAGCCTAGGAGACTAAAAGGAGGCCATTGTGACTGGAGAGACGGCGTTACAACGTGAAACTGGGCACCACACTAAAAGATTGGTTTTGGCCTTGTTTTTTAAAAAACAAAAGTTGATCCTTTTCTTGAGAAAACGGGAGTTTGATAGGATCAGAGCAAAATCATTCCAGCTTCAGGGTAGGAGCACAGGCGTGGCCAACATTGGACCAATTAGGATGTACAAGTGATGGGTGAAGTTAAGCATAGTTTAATTGACATAAGAGTGAGGAAATAGAAATAAGTAGGGCAAACGGAACGAATTAGGAAGTAAAGTGAGAGCCCTTGGTGACAGACTCAGATCAAAGTTTAAGGAAAGAAATTAAAAACTGGAGATTTCTAGTGGATCCACTGCTAATGCCATCATTGAGATATAAGGAACACTGGAAAAGAGCCAGGGTTAGAGGGAAACAGTGATTTTTGACTTGAAGAAAGAGTTTAGAATGTTTTTATGACTTCAAAAGGAAGTGTAAACACTTGGATTTATGGGTCTGAAGCAACAAAAAGTCTGAGCTAGACAAAAATGTGTTACTTTATTATACTCTGCCCTTTTCTGCAGGGTTGGCACTTTCTTTCAAATGAAGCCGTTCTTATTCTAAATCAGATATTTTGTCTTTACATTTAGAACAGAAAATCAAAAGTGAAAGTCACCATAGCAGTGTCCATGTTTCCCCGAGAATCGCCAGGGGCCCTTGTTTAAAATCCTTAGAAATGCCTGTCTGATATGGAGCCTGAAACATGGATATTTTTAAAAGTAGGACTGTTGATTCTCATTATTAAATTGGTTCAAGCAGTGGTCCTCTGGTGCCAAAGACTAACTACATAGAAAGTTAAGTATTTCACCAAGGTACTTACTAAAATACAGACTCTTCTCACTGGGAACAAACTACTGCAGCAGGCTGCACTCCCAGCAGATGGCCAGCAGAGAAGCAGCTCTATGGTGCCTTTTCAAGATTCCTTGCCCCATACTGTCCTGTCAGGGCTCTTCCTTCCTTTCCTTTTCTCTTTTCTATGATTTTTTTCTCTCCTCTCATCCTACAGGTCCTTTCTGTATCTATCTAGTATGGCTTTGTGGTTTGTGTTTTTATGGGAATCCTGATTGTGGGAATGATTGTGGCAATGAGTGGGTCTCTGAGTCTATATTTGCTTCTTGTGCCTTTTCCTCTGTCTTTTCCTGCTGGTTTTTGGTTTTGTTTTGTTTTTTTTGTTTGTTTGTTTTTGCCCTACTCCATTGTATTTGTTTTGTTTTATCTTATATATTATTTTTTTTACCCCTTAGATGCTTGTTCTTAATGATTTGTTTTTATTTGATGTGTGTTTTGTCTTCATGTATATGTGTGAGGGTGTCAGATCTCCTGGAACTGGAGTTACAGACAGTTGTAAGCTGCCGTGTGGATGCTGGGAATTGAACCTGAGTCCCCTGGAGAAGCAGCCAATGCTTTTAGCCACTGAATAATCTCTTCAGACCCCACCAGTTTGTATTCTAATGAAAGACAAAAGGAAGGACGTAGATCCAGATGGGATAAGAAGTAGGGAGATTACTGGGAGGGAGGGAAAATCATAAACAACATATACCATATAGAAAATCTATTTTTCAATAAAAGAAAAATTGAGATACTGGGAATGTAGCTCGTTGGGCAATCACTTGCCTAGTATGTACTAGGACCTAGATTGTGTTCATTATATGTTAAAATAAGTAAATAAATAGACAAAATATAATTAAGAACTTACAGCCATTTCTCCTGTTTTTGGATTCTTTTGCTTTTGTTTCTTGATTTGTTTTTGTATTGTTGAAGATACTAAGCCTCAAACATGATAATATGCAATCTATAAGTTATATTACCAGTTCCTGTACATTTTCTCCATAAAATTGAAGAAACCCTTTTTGTTCTTTTGTTTTTTTAAAAAAATGGCTATTTTGTCAATATTTTCCTACGTGTTTTTACCTGATTACATGATTTTCCTCACTACTGTTAATTTAATGGATTACTTAGGACTTTTTTTTTTTTGAAACAGACTTGCACTGTAAGAATAAATCTCACTGGCTTAGCTATATGCTTTTTTGTACATAGTTGGTATGACTTGTTGATAATTTGTTTGTAATTTACTAATTTAAATTCATAAAGAATGTTGATGTTTATCTTTTCCTTTGTAATAACAATGCCTTCTTCTGGCCTGAGCACTACACTAAGTATTCTTGACCTCACAGAAATACCAAACATTATCTCTGCTTATATATTTTGTAACATACTATAAACAACTGGTATAATTGTCCCATGAAAGCTCTACCATTCAGAATAACTTAAAATTATTTTAAAAATTAATTAATCAAAAAATACAGATTCTTGGACCCTACAAACAAGAACCACTAGGAATTAGAAAAGCAAGGGGAAAAAGTGAGACAGGAAGATGTTGTTTTGTCTACATGCATGTCTGTGTGAAGGAATCAGATCTCCTAGAACTGGAATTACCCACAGTTGTGTGTAGGCTTAGATGTTTTTCAAAACCTACTTTAGGGTTCTTAAATGCTTCAACCTTCCTTCTAACCCACTGTCCAGAGGTAGGAAGGAAAGAAGGTTAATAGGAAAAGTAGTTTCTTGGGGCAATTCCACTCTTTGTTGTCTGCA